ATAGGAAAATTTTGTAACCTAAAGTTTTTAATTTCTTTTATGAATATAGAATATAAATGTTACTAATACTAAGTATTTTGTTAATGGAAAGTTGACCAAAACAACAATTGTAGATCTTTTTGAGTTTAACAAACTTGGTATTCAAAACTTTTCAATTCGAAGTCATTTAGAGTCCATAATACTAGGGTCAAAGTGTTGTTTTTTCATTTGACCAAATTTGACTTGGTCAAACTTGCTCAAATGAGACACTAAATGACCTCAGATGAAAAAACTCTGAATACCAAGTTTGATCATCTCAGCAAGATCTACAATTGTTACATAGATCATTTTCCCATTTGAGAAATTTTTATCAAACACTAGTCACAATTTTCCTTATCTCTTATAGACTTCTAAAACTATGTCACACACTTGTGAAAATTGAACTACATTTTGTTCAAGCTTTCTCAAATGAAAAAATGGTCTATATAAGGATTGTAGATATTGATGATATGAACAAATTTGGTATTCAAAACTTTTCAATTTTAGACAATCTAGGGTTCCGAAAACTAGTTTGTAGGCGTCGAAATTTAAAAATCATAAATTTGAACCGTCCAAACTTTCTCAAATGGAAAGTTGACCAAAACAACAATTGTAGATCTTTTTGAGTTTAACAAACTTGGTATTCAAAACTTTTCAATTCGAAGTCATTTAGAGTCCATAATACTAGGGTCAAAGTGTTGTTTTTTCATTTGACCAAATTTGACTTGGTCAAACTTGCTCAAATGAGACACTAAATGACCTCAGATGAAAAAACTCTGAATACCAAGTTTGATCATCTCAGCAAGATCTACAATTGTTACATAGATCATTTTCCCATTTGAGAAATTTTTATCAAACACTAGTCACAATTTTCCTTATCTCTTATAGACTTCTAAAACTATGTCACACACTTGTGAAAATTGAACTACATTTTGTTCAAGCTTTCTCAAATGAAAAATGGTCTATATAAGGATTGTAGATATTGATGATATGAACAAATTTGGTATTCAAAACTTTTCAATTTTAGACAATCTAGGGTTCCCGAAAACTAGTTTGTAGGCGTCGAAATTTAAAAATCATAAATTTGAACCGTCCAAACTTTCTCAAATGGAAAGTTGACCAAAACAACAATTGTAGATCTTTTTGAGTTTAACAAACTTGGTATTCAAAACTTTTCAATTCGAAGTCATTTAGAGTCCATAATACTAGGGTCAAAGTGTTGTTTTTTCATTTGACCAAATTTGACTTGGTCAAACTTGCTCAAATGAGACACTAAATGACCTCAGATGAAAAAACTCTGAATACCAAGTTTGATCATCTCAGCAAGATCTACAATTGTTACATAGATCATTTTCCCATTTGAGAAATTTTTATCAAACACTAGTCACAATTTTCCTTATCTCTTATAGACTTTCTAAAACTATGTCACACACTTGTGAAAATTGAACTACATTTTATTCAAGCTTTCTCAAATGAAAAAATGGTCTATATAAGGATTGTAGATATTGATGATATGAACAAACTTGGTATTCAAAACTTTTCAATTTTAGACAATCTAGGGTTCCGAAAACATATTACATAATATCCGTCTCTAAAACATAATATATTAAACATGCATCGTTGTATCATGCGGGCACAACAGTGAATTTCTTCTTGACGTATGACCCTTGGTTATGATCTTGTCGTAACCATGGAGTGTCTTCATCATTTAACATGATGCTTGGATCTTTCTTCACTATGAAGGGTGGAATTCGGACATTTCTTTCGTAATCTTCTGACATGTCTGACTTGTCTTCAATTCCTACTATATTTATTTTCCCAGAAAGAATTATGTGGCGCTTTGGCTCATTGATCATTGAGTTGATGTCTTCGTTTTTTCCTCTCTTTGATTTTGTAGACATGTCTTTCACATAGAACACCTGACTCACATCGGCAGCAAGGACGAATGGTTCCTCTTTGTATCCAATATTGTTGAGGTCCACTGTTGTCATTCCATACTCTTTGTCGACTGTTACCCCTCCTCCGGTCAGCTTCACCCATTGGCACCGGAACAAAGGGACTTTAAAGTTTGTTACCTCCAAAATCGAAGAGCAACACCAATGGAGGGGGAGAGTGCAAGAACAACAGCAAGCTGAAGAACAGAGGCAGTGAGTTTGAATAATGGAATGGCTCGGGCTCGGGGAGGAAGAATTGAGCAGAATTATAGGCCGGGATAATTAGTCCCGGTTAGGGGTCCAAACCGGGACTAAATATTAATCTTTATTCCCGGGGCATAACCCAAACCGGGACTAAAAGCTTTAGTCCCGGCTGGTATTACCAACCGGGACTAAAGGTAAACCTTTAGTCCCGGTTGGTAATACCACCGGGACTAAAGATCCCCGCCCTCATGGACGACATTGGGCAGGGACCTTTAGTCCCGGTTGGTATTACCAACCGGGACTAAAGGGTCCTTTAGTCCCGGGGGCAAAAAATGCCGAGGCTAATGCTAAATTGGGACATCGTTCTAAAGTCTGTTCTCTAGTATGTTAGACCGGGCCATAGCATATGCTGAGGCATACTCGACATATCCTCTGCCGTCCACCCCTTTATCATATACCAAAATTAATGGCCAGATCTTTCTATTTTTTTTAAAAAAATTATATATTTTTAATTTTTTTTCTCATATATATATTAGGATTAACATGGAGACTCCGTGTTGGAGTCCTCCAACTTAGATATGATATATAGAAACCTAGTCAATTTATGTCTAGATGTTTTTAGAGTTTTTTTGTAATCAAATGCCTTAAAAGTTATTATATATTCAAAGTTATAAAAGTTTGACTCGAACCTTATACAAACATCAAGGATTAATTTGTTAACTAGATGGAGTAGTGTGAGATCCATCCCATTGGGCCAGTTGGGCCGGACCAAATTCGCGACACTATAGCGACGAGGTACTAGTATTCCCAGTTTAGTCCCATACCGAAAATAGAACGAACGCTAGACCAGCTTAAAAGCCATGACCTGGGAGACTATTAACTCCGGATCGATCCTTTTGAGCGAAGAGAGGACGAAAGCTCAAGAGAGTTAATTAGCAGGTATGGCTCATTCAACGTGTAGAGTGGGCCTTAGCCGTCTTACCGAGTCGGGGCGTTACAAGTAGGTTCTAGATGGAGCCTCTAGTCTGACAAAAAAAAATTCAAATAGTTATCTGCTAAGTGGCCAAAGGTTTTTCTGCAGTTAGGAAATGTTGGTTTGGGAATTCTTTTTTTCAGGGATTGTGCATATATCAGACTAAAACCCCTAGGCCACTTGAGAAAGAAAATTGGGAAGAATAACAAAAAACCACGTGTCAATTTTCCTTACAAAAAAGACACTCAGAGAAGATTATTAAATATGTTGTGGTGATGGGTAGGCTAGACGCCACTTTCCGAGTCATATCACACCCTTAGCTTGCTGACTCGAGAAAGGCCAGTTCTTGAACGATCGATCGGTACAAGCACAAACACGGAACTGACAGTGGAGCAACCGGCCTATTATAGTGATCACTGATCACTAGTGTTGGATCGTCGGATCACTTGGGAACGTACGTACAGCGGTACAGGTAGCCGAGTAGCTAGCTAGTTCACCTTGGAGCAGGCACGTCTGATCTGGCCCCGCGACCCGGTGAGCGGGCTGATGTTGCCCATCCTGATCATGGCCGCCGCGAAGTCCCTGCTGAACCTCGTCGGCGTGGACGCGTACGTGCGGACCAGGCCGTCCGTGTCGCCACCGTTGAAGAGCTGCTGGTCGGAGTGCAGCAGCCCGTTCTGCGCCAGCAGGTTTGTGTAGTAGGCGTTGTCGACCGCGACGGACGTGGCGGTGTCTAGCGGCGCCAGGTTGCCGTCGCCGTTGCCGGCCACCGCGGGGCAGCTGACCTTGCGCAGCGTCGCGAACGCCGCGTTCACGTTGGTGTCGTTGTATATGTGCGCCCGGAAGTTCTTGCACTGCGACAGCCCGATGGTGTGCGCGCCTGACAGAGCGACCAGGTCGGTCCTGCTGAGCCGCTTCTTGGCGAACGCGGCCGTGAGGTTGGCCAGGTCCAGGGACGGCGCTGGCAGGTCGCTGTTGGCCAGAGATAGGCTCGCCGTCGTCGAGTCCCTCCGCCCAAGAAGAACCCTCCACGAAGGCCCTCCCAGCTGCACAGCACACATGAACGTACGTATACCGAATTAAAGGCTAGCTGGCCGGGATCCGTGTAATTCGAGCCGTCCGGCCGGCCGGGGTGTTTGATTTCTTACCGCGACGATGGAGTCTCGGGCGGCGACGACGAGGATGTCGGCGCAGGAGACGACCCCCGGGCACACGGCCTCCACCTGCGCCTTGATGTTGTCGACGACGCCGAAACCTCTGATGGACCCGACGTTCGGATTAGCGGTCTGCTCACCGGTGAAGGTGGCCGTGTCATTCAGCAGCACGGACGCATCGCAACCCTGCAGGTCGTCCATGCATGTGGAGCAAGTACAAAAGTATTTTTATTATTTGGACAGTACACAAATGTTATGTTACATAAAGTAAAGAAAACAAAATAAGTAGTACCAGTAGTTGTTACATGTTTTTTTCTAATTAATTAAAGAACAGCTAGCTCATGGAAATTGTGTGCTAACCAAAGTACGTAAAATATATTTTTTTCTGATGAAAGGAGTAAATATTTGTTTAAGTTCGTAAGAAGATCAAATAAAGGGTAAAATAAGTCTTGGACATATGTTTTCCAAGTGTCAAAAGACAAAAGTGTTCATTTTGCTCTGGCGACTAAACTAGTACGGCTACAATCTGAGAACAGTGGTAAACTGTGAGAACAGACTTAAAATTTTGAGGTAGCTAAAGATGATGCAATATGTCATACATACTGTAGTTAATTTCTAACCAGTGGACATCAAAGATTGTTGCTAGGCCTTTAGGATCAATAAACACTACTACTATACCATATTGCTGATGGATGGACGATAGATGTGTAGTCAAATTTAAGTAGGAGCGAGGAGAGAATGAGACTTGAGAGTTGAGAGGGACGGGACGGGACTTGCTTGGACAAAGCAGTCATGGAAGTGGAGCCTGAGCAGGGAGGCCCCCATGCGAGGCTCCTGTGCAACCGCGGCCGTCACGGCGGACTTGATGGTGGCCAGAGCTCTGGGACACGACCTGGAGTAGAATGTCGCCGACAGTTGCGCCGAGGCCACCGCTGCTAGGCACAAGAGCACCATCACTGACAAGGAAGAAGCAGCAGCCATGACCAGCTAGCAGTACTCTCAGCACTACCACCCCAATGCAATGCAGCTACACTCTGTTGACTACACTGCTGCAGTCCTTTTCAGGGTTAAGTGTTTCTTGACTTGATGGCTAGCCTCTGCATAACTGGCAATGCATATCTGCGTTTATATATAGCTAGTATTAGTGTTCATGCATGTTTGGTTATTTTTGCTCCCGTGACAGTCTGTTGGTAACATGCATGACATGCTGTGTGTTTGCTAGTGTGACTCTGCATATGTTTGTTGGGCATTAATTGGTATATATAGAATGGTTTGTCATGCATTATGAAGATATGGTTCGAGTCCAAATCAATGAATAATGAAGGCGAATGAATCAAGTGCTTTGCAGGCTAGGGATATATATATGTTTTAGAGACATCACGATCGTTGTCACTGTACTGTACGTACGATGCATATTTTTGAACACTATTAGCTGGTCCTTTTCAGAAAAAGGAAAGAAAAGAACATTATTAGCTGGTCCTGTCAGATAAGCTTTATATAATATAATATATATACATATATATAGAAACGAACATACCTACCAGATTATGGCGCTCTTTTTCTTTCTAGCGCGAACCAGAATTTGGCTTTCCTGCTGATCGTTTTATTTTTCATCGCGCGAAGAGATACAAGAGCATTACCATGCACTTTTCACAGAAGCATTTTAACATTTCCCAGCACTGAAAGATTTACAAGAACGTATATAATATTTTCGCTCATAGGGCCATTAGTAATTGATGATGAACAAGAACCTGTCCAGCCGCTACTGGAAAAAAATAGAACTTTGAAATTCAGGGGAAAACAAGGTTTACAACTTTTCACAATTCACATATATCATTAAAGAAGGATAAGAAGACCTGAAGCCTGAAGGTAAAAGAAAAATACCAGTTTCTGCACTGAACTGAACACACATGTATATGTGGTTGTTAGACTGCAATATATGCAACCATATCTCCACCTTCCTAGATGATCTTCATTGCATTAGAAGGCCGGCTGCAGTACCTTCTAAACATTTCAGCATATTCATAGCGCTATGCTGCTGGCAGCTCTGGAAGCGCAGGAATGGAGTGATCTTCAAGTCTGAACCTGCCTCTACAAGGCAAATTTTGGTGGCATGCGTCTCCGACGCAAATCTTTGGAGAACGAGACTGCCAAGGAAGGATAGGGCTGTCGCGGATGCCTGGATCGGTGCTTTTTCAGCAGCTATGCAATAGAAATCTTGTAATATGTGTGTGTATATGTAGCTTGGCTACTGAATATATATATATATATATATATATATATATATATATATATATATATATATATATATATATATATATATATATATATATATATATATATATATATATATATATATAAATAGCCAGCTACAAAATAAGTTATTCTGTAGCCACCTCCATTTACGATAATTTTATATACTAATTTACGATAATGCAAATACATATTTACGATAGTTAGGTTATTATAACACATGGGGATATTTATCATAACGTTATAGTAAACCACTTAGTAAGGAGTTACTATAATCTCGTAAATTAACATAGTAATTATCGTAACTCAAAGTAGCTACTGTGGTAGTAGTTATATATATGTGTGTGTGCGTGCGGCGCATTCAGAGGAGGAGGCCTGAAGTTTGAAGGTATCTTGATTCAAATAAGGAAGGAAGCATATTACAGTATATATGCATCCAAAAGAAAAGGGTAGAAAATATCAGTTCCTCCAGCCTCCACTGAAGACTGAACACTTGTGGTTAGCCTACAATGCAACCATGCCAGTTGCCAGTTGCCAGCCATGCAGAATTTGTCTGGCGTTGAAACCCTGTGATGAGAATTGAGAAACATCGTCAATAACTAACACGAGTGATTGCGATACGCCGCAAGTGGCTGAGGAGACTAATATTATTATATTAATCTGCCTGATCACGATGTATTAGAGCAAGTATAATAACGCTTTTGAGCCGGCGAAGAGCAGTCCACGTCGACAAAAAAGACGCCACGGTAGGAGAGAGATTGTGGAGCAGGCGATTCCTTTCTCGCCGGTTGCAGCCGGCTGCAGCTGCAGCACAAGCCACGAGAAAAAACTTGTCTCAGCCCGCAATGCTCTGAACATCTGAACGTATATTGATCTGAGCATTAAATACTACAGCCAACCCCTACAGTCTGCCCCCACTATATCAGTCTTCATTGTACGTATATTGATCTGAGCATTAAATACTACAGCCAATCCTACTGATCTCTGCCCCACTATATCAGTCTTCATTGCTGAAGGCTGTAGCAGACTGGTGAGTGATGTGGCATGGGTTTGCAGCCTGCTGCCGGCGTTTTTATTAAACTTGCTCTACCTGCAGAGTTGTATGCTTATCCTAGCTATGTTCTCGTGAGTTGTGACTGCTCTCAAAGTCTGCCGCAGGTTACTGTCTGTCAGTTACCAAACAGTCAAGACTTGCTGATAAAGCAGCCAGCGACGCGACATGCTGAACTTTCACGGTTAGGTCCAGTTTAGTTTCAGAAAATTTTACCAAACTTTCCAGATTCTCCGTCACATCGAATCTTTGACGCATGCATCGAAGCATTAAATATAAATAAAAATAAAACTAATTACACAGTTTAGACGAAATTTACGAGACGAATCTTTTAAGCCTAATTAGACTATGATTGGACACTAATTACCAAATAACAACGAAAGGTGCTACAGTGTATTTTGCAAAAAAAATCGCCATCTAAACAGGCCCAGAACAATCACTACTAAAGTGCTAACTGGAGCACCAAGTATGTTCCAGAAAATCGATCATTATATATTATATATTCTCATCGAAACATTCCGAAATAGACGTCGCTTTTATTTAGAAGTCTGCAATGCATGGCGACAAAGATGAAATCTTGCGGCTGTACTGGATTTTTGTTATCACGCAGGAAATTGCGCCACATTCCGGCACAAGTGACTGTAGAGTTGCAGCTGCGGCACGCAGCGCGCGCGTTTCGCTTTCACTTGTCAACGGCAGTCAGAAACAGTACAAGCATCTCAAGAAAAACTTGCACAAGATGCCAGATTGCCAGCTTAGTAGTAACAAACTACTCTACATTATTCCTCTACCGGACTCTATAATTTCGATAGGAATTCGAACGAGATGCCCTTTTATTTCCCACCAGAACAGCTGGCAGGGCTCACATTTTCAATCGGCCGTTTGCGTTGCAAAGTGTAGACTGGTGAATCCGTTCAAAACTTTCAAAGGTGATGTCTATTTGGCACCAAACATGCAATGTCTACTAGCACAAAACACATCGTTTTCGGTCTCCTTTTGCAGACAAGGGGTGTGCAAGAACTTCTACGCGAGCAGACAACAAAGGCAAGACGTGCGTGACGCACAAGGTCAAAAACTGTCAAGGACGACGATCCCAAGTATACTCTGGATCGGCTTGCAGCTGACTAGTAGTGCGCCGGCCGGTGACGACGTTGCGCGTAGGTACAAAGAGTTCGGTCGTGTTCTTGGCACAACCAGTGGATGCTGGCGTGCAACTTGCATCGATGGATTAGAGAGAGAACTAATTCAAGTCGGAATCTCCAGCGCGTTGATCCGGACAAACTGTCGATAATGAGGCATTAGCCGTGTTTTGTAAAATATCCTTTCAAATCTACATAACCATAAATTATTAAAAAATAAATTAAAGTAAAATATTCTTTCAAATTCACATCAAAATAACTAGCATATGTTAATATGGAAAACGTACCGTTGACATAACCATAAATGACGTGTGTATATTTTTTTTAGAAAATGAAAGAGACTTCCTGCTTCTGCGTCTCCACACACAATGTTTACATTATTACATAGTGTTAGCGACATTGCTGAAGATAATTCAGGGAAACGAGAAATGCAAAAAAAATATGCATGACAGAGTCTATTATTAAATTTCCATCCATGGAAAGCAAACAACTCCAACGTAGTGGTCTCTAGTTTTTTTGCTTGCTGACCGAACATACTCCTTTGTTTCATCATCACGCTGCAGCAGTGCCCAAACCTGCAACCAATATGTTCCCCTGAAAGTAGCCTGCATAAAAGATGTATATTTGCAATTTTCAAAGATTAGATCATTACAACATCTCGAAATTACCCAATATAAAGCGGCTACCTCAACCAAAATATATTTCTCTTTTAAATCAAAATTTGATAGCCAACTCCCTAACATGTGGGATAAAGAGTTAGGAGGGGTTAACCCAGTGGCTATATAGACAGTCCTCCAGATTGTCTTGGCGTGATGACAATCAAGGAAAAGATGTTTAATGGTTTTGTTACAATTACATAAACGACAGTTTTGATTGCCTTTCCAATTCCTTTTCATTAGATTGTCATTTGTTAAAATTACCCCCCACTGGAGATACCAAAGGAAAATCTTGATTTTTAGAGGAATTTTCAACTTCCAAAGCAATTTATGAGAGAAAGGAGTATTCTGATTCATTGTGAAGATACATAGAATGGACCATAAATTGACCATTGTTATGTAAGCTTCAAATAAACAAATCTCTCTCATTAGTTAAATAGATAGATGTGAGTGATCTTGGCTATTAAATCTTCCCATTCATCTAGTTTATCCCCCACCAGAGCTCTCCAAAATGAAATATTCAGTGGTGTTGATCTCATAATATTGGCCAATGTTCATGCGGAAGATTTGTAATATTCTACAGTGTGGGATAAAGATCTTTGAATGGGTGGTTGCCTACCCACGTATCTTCCCAAAGTCTTGTTTGTGATCCACAAATTACGTGTGTGTATGTTTCTCTGCGATAATTACCCAACTCTAATACTATTAATATATAAAAAAATTGAACTTTGACACATATGCTGCACATGCGTGCATTCTGAAATAATATGAAATATCTAGATTGATAGCACAATGTTAAGCAGTACTATATGTTTTTATATATATAAAGTACTACTATACATATAATATTTCGGTAAGAAAATTCAAAATCTTGAGTATTGG